GGAGTGGGCTTTTCTATGTAAGAAACACATCTCAGGGCAGCTGTGAACAAAGACCAAGCCTGGTATTTGGCCACTCAGCCCACAAACTTCAGCTGGCACCCGCATGCCAGGCTCATGTCCTAGGTGGTGGACACAGCCCCCTTCTCAGGAGCTCACCCAACAGAGAAGGGCCTGTAGCCAAGGAGAGGGTGTCACAGCGGTCGGGAACAAAGGCTTCGTCCCTGAAATTGTGGGCCTCACCAACATCACAAGGCTAGATGTGCTTTGCTTCCACTGACGTGGCGTGGAAGGGACTCGTCCCCACCCCGACTCAGTCTGTGGCCCCACTCCCATCCCCGCAAGCACTGGACAGAGTAAACAGGAGGCAGATGGCTGAGGCCAAGGCCCTGCCCTGCATCCCATCAGCTGGCTGGACTCATGGACCCACACTGTAACTGAGGCCAAGGCCCTGCCCTGCACGCCGTCAGCTTGTTGGACTCAGGGACACACAGACACACAACACAGCCACACTCCCAAGGCTCACCCCAGCCACCTGCTCCCAGGCCCTGAAAGCTCACCTCCAGGCTGTTGTCTGCCCTGTCAGGGAACTGTCATCTACCTGCCTCTCCCCGCATAGGAGGGGTACAGGCTGACTCCAGGAACCCCCAGCTCATCTTCTGTAGCTGAGGGTCTGGCTGCCCTGACCTCCCCATTCTGGGGTCCCTGAGCCTGCTGTTCTCCTCCTGGAATCATCCACAGGTGCCTTGGTGTCTAGGCCAGGTCTCGGGTGTGCTGAGGGATCTGCCAGTCCCCCTACCTGGCAGGGCCAGTCCCCCTCAGGGGTCCACTCCCACCCTGGAACTTGGACTTACCTGCCTGCAGACCACCAGCCGTCCCACCACAGGACCTAATGGCCCAGTGGCCGGCTCCTTCTGGTCTCCTCAGCAAATAGGAGGAAGTGGGAGGGGACGGAGGAAGCTCTGCAGTGGGGCTCCTGGCGCAGGGCCACAGGGAAGGGACGCAGGAAAAGCAGGTGGACAGCAGCCGCCTAGCTCATCTGCTGAGGGGCTGGCCGACCGGCTGGGGGATGGTGACCCTGCTCTCTGGGGACCAGGGCTCCCTGAAAGCCTCTGGAGATGCCCCCTGGGGCAGGAACGCTGGGTTGTTCCTGGGAAAGCTTCGTGTGCCCTGGCAGTGTCTACTCTCCAGAACAGGCAACAAAGCCCCCAATGTCCCTGCCAAGTGACTGGCTGACTTGAGTGCCAACCCCTCTTCAAGAGGCCCCCAGAGTGTGGGAGCAGGCCCCTCCCAGCCTGCGTGCTGCAGATAAGACGCCTGCCCACCAGCTGGTCCCCTTCACCACAGAGGCCTGGGCAGGAGGCCTGGCAGGGACCAGCTACAGGGGTTCCAGAAGGAAAGAAGACCCTTGTGGGTCCAGGGGACCCCAAAGGAGCCGGGTGGGGGCAGTAGGCTTGTCCCCATTGCTGGGATAGACGAGATAGGAACTGGCAGGAGTCTCTAACAGTGCTAGCGGGCACGGGGGCTGCTTCTCTTTTCAATAGTCACGTGGAGTGCCTGCTGGGTGCTGGGCATGGGGCACAACCAGTCACACCCGAGAGAAGGTGAGACTCACCCAGGGAAGCAGGCAGGGGTCAGTGTGTACCTCACAGCCCAGAGGGTCTTGAACAATGAGGGTGCGAGAAGTGACCCCCGGGGACTCGCGGGCTGTGGCGAGTTTCTGAGGCTATGTTTGCCTGTCTGGTCACCTGCAGCAAGGCTGACCCCTGGCCTGAATGTCGAGTGCTGGGCTGGGCCTCACGGTATAGCACACGGACCATGCTGGCCTGAGCAAGTGGCTAGGCGGCAGTTCTCCAAGTCACAGGCGACTTGGTGGAGCCGGTGGCTCTGGGACCCAATCAGCACGGGTGCCAGCCCCACCACACCCAGGGAGGCAGGAGGGGTGGAGGGGGTGTCCCAGGTCAGGCTCTGAGCCAAGAGAGTGAGAGAAAGAGCGAGAGCAAAAAAAATAAAAATAAATAAATAAATAAATAAAAAAAAGAAAGAGCGAGAGCGAGAGCGAGTGAGCGAGCGTGCGTGCGTGCGTGCGTGTGTGTGTGTGTCCCAGGTCAGGCTCTGAGCCAGGCGCATGTGTGTACGTGTGTGTGTACATGTGTGTGTAGGTACGTGTGTGTGTGTATGTGTGTGTGTCAGCTTAGGTTTTGACCTGGACCACTCCCACTGTCCTCTTCCTAAGAATTTGCATTTCCCTGCAGGCACAGGCCAACCTCATCCTCCCTCCTCCCCTCCTCGGGTTCACAGTGCTCCCTGCACGCGAGAGGTCTGTGACAACCCAGCACTGCGCGCAGGGATCCAAGCCATCTGGCCCAGAGTACACGCTCACTTGGTGTCCCTGAGTCACATCCTGGTCATTCTCACACTAAAAGCTCTTCAGAAAGCGACTGCCCACTTGATAAACCAGCAAAGCAAAACCAAACTCACCACGCTGAGTCCATTCTGACTCAGCGACCTCCAGGCACGGCAGAACCGCTCCAAGGGACCCCTGAGGCTGTGAATCTTTCCAGGAGAAAACAGTCGTCTTTCTCCTAAGGCGGAGCTGGTGGATTTGAACTGCTGATTTTTCAGTTAGGAGTCTAATACATTACACACCAGCCATCAGGACTCCTTTTCTAGACGACAGTGTAACTTTTAAATGCACTGGGAAGCCAAATAGACAGATGGCTCACTTTATTGCAATGTTCCCTTCATGGTGGAATATCTGAGGTATGTCTGCATTCGGAGCCTGAACTACATTCCATGGGTGGAAGCCACAGTCTGTCCTCTGACAAAGTTACAGTCTCCGCCCACCGCTGCTTGTAAAGAACCAGAGAGAGAGAGAGAGAGAGAGAGAGGGCCCGCCTGGGAGTGGAGGGACCGGAAGCCCCGGGCAGCGCCCAAAGTGACAGCCTGAGAAGGGAGGGTGGACTCTGGAGCTCTGGGACTCTGGCCAAGTCAAGGCTCATGTCTCCAGGAGTGAAATGGAGCCAGGGGCAGGGCCTGGCATGCTGGACAGATGAACAGCTTCGCTGGGTTAACAGAACAGTCAGAGGATAACTCGGATCGAGCTTGAGGCCACGCAGTTAACGATGCTGCCGAAAGCTCCGTCAAACCTGATCCAGCAACAGTCGCACGCCTGTCCTCACGTAGCGTCACACCCACACGTCCACACGGGCCCCCGGCAGTCACTCGTTCAGACGCTCTCTCACATGCACCACGGTCTGCACGGCTCTATACTCAAGTCATGCTCATTCACGTCTACACTCACACAGATACACAATTCACTCACACTCACACTGACTGCTCCATACACTCCGACAACGTGCATTTACTCGCACACGCAGACCCACTCTCACATAGACACTCTCCCATTCACAGGCTCCCCCTCCAGTCACCTATGCACATAGACCCTCATCCCTGGCACATTCACACACGGAGAAAACTCACTCATATAGGTAATGACACTCCCACACCATGTGCTCTCACATTAGTGTCCACACTCGTGTCTACTTATGAGCCCTAGTAACGCGCTCAAGCACTCAGCTAACTGAAAAGTCAGCCGTTCAAACCCACCAGCCCTGCTCTGTGGTAGCAAAAAATTTCCTGGGCCCCGCAGGGCTGCTGTGAGCCGGCATCCACTTGACTGCAGGCCCTTTGCTATTTTGTTTTCCTCTGTTTCTGCTTCTTTCCAGTGGGCAACCTGCCTGCAGCCAGTTCTAATTAGATGCCGTAGGAGACGGTGCAGACTCACCTCATACTGTTCCTGACAAGCAGCTGTCTCTGGGCTTCTGAGTCACCCAACACCCATCAGGAGGTATCACTCCCCGCCACTCCCAGGACTGTTTGTACAGACCCTTAACAATGGGCCACTTCCCTGTTGTGTAGCTTGGGGCAAGGGAATGAGCCACTTCCCTGTTGGGATAATCAACTCTCTCTGCACACAAGGACATCAGAAGGCTTGACAAGTTTTCTCCCAAAGACAGAGGCCTAGTGTTCCTTGAGGAGAGGCTGGCTCCAGCTGATGTCCATTCCTGACCGGATGTCTAAACCTAACACAGCGTGGAGTGTGGAGGCATCTCGGGACACCACCACTGAGGAGCCTCTACTCCATAAAGATTGCTGTTAAGTGCTGTTCCATCAACCACAACCCATAGCTGACCCTATGAACAACAGACCTGAACCCTGTCCTGTCCTGTGCCATCCTCACAATCTCTGACCCACTCGGGCCCCTTGCTGTATTCACGTCAATCTCCTTCCCTGACCCTCCACCTATCCCAGCATGAAGCGCCTCTCCAAGGCACAGCCTCTCCTAGCAACATGCCTGAAGTATGGAAGTCACAGCTTTGCATCTTTGCCACCAAGGAGCACCCGGGCTGAATCTTCCCCAGGACATGTTTGTTCTGGGAAACCCCATGGGGCTGTACTCTGCCCGTTGGGCTGCGGGGTGGAAGGGCAGGTTCCCATCCTCCCACACACTGTGCCCTCACCTGTCCCCAGATAAATCCACGCTCACAGCCGGTCCCCTCTGCCCCCGGGCACTGTCACATGTCCACGCCCACGCTCACACGCACTCACTTTCACTCGTGCCCTCCCATTCACTCTCACACCACCCACATGCACCCTGCACCCTGTTCCTCGGTCCCTGCACGCTCACACGCCCACGATCCTCGCCCTTGTCCCCAAGGGCCAGTCCCCTGGCGTCCCCGCGCCTGCCCGGTGCCGCGGACCACGGCAGTGACCAGCCCGGGGAGTGACCAGGCCCAGGGAGTAACCAGGCCTAGGCAGTGACCGGGGTGCGGCTATAGGCCCGGGGAAAGGTCAAGGTTCCGCAGCCCCAGCTGCTCTCAGCCCGGCCCTGGCCCCGACCAGACACCGTGTCGCAGTCGCGAGCTGAGGCCCAGGCTGGGGCCACCGGTCATGCAAGGCCCTGCTGGGGTCCCCGAAGTGCACCCCGCCCCGCCGGGTACCGTGCTCAGTTGTGACCCCATGGTGGCCGCCGCCTTGCTCCGGTGCCGGTGCCGCTGTGTCGCCGCTGCACTGGTCCCTGTGGTCACGCCTGTTCCCCGGGCTGCGGAACGTGGGCGTGACCAGGGCAGCGGAACGTGGGCGTGGCCTTTGCGTCGGGGGCGTGGCCTGTGCGTCGGGGGCGGGACCTGGGAGGCAGGAGGTGGGATCCGGGACCCACTTCCGCCTCTACCATTGACAGCCCCCCACGTGTCGGGAACCAAGGTTCCCGTGGACCAAGGGCAGCCTGGAACGTGGCGCCCCGGCGAGCGAGCTCGTGGAACTCACAAGCGCCATCGAGGCCCGCAGGGTCCAGGGCCCACATCGGACCGCCTGTCCTCCTTGTCCCCAGTTCCTCTCGTCCCCAGCTCCCCCTCGTCCCCTCAAGGCCTTCGCATTGGCCGTCCCCTCCCCTGCGAAGCTAGCCGGCTGGCTCAGGGCCAGTGTTACTTCATTGCTGAGCTCAAAGCTCAAAACTTAAAAGCTCTGGTCCAACCATTATGGAAGGCTGTATGGTGCCTTCTCAAAAAGTTGCAAATAGAAATACCATTTGACCCAGCAATCCCACTAAGGGGAATTTACCCTAAAGACACCATAAGTTTATTGTGGCTTTGTTCATAATAGCAAAGCTGGAAACAACCCAAGTGCCCATCAACAACAGGGATAGAGAAGCTCTGGTATAGTCTACACAATGGAATACTACGCTGCATTGAAAGATAAGGAACTCATGAAATATTATTCAAAATGGGTGACCCTGGAGGACATTATGCTGAGTGAAGTATCTCAGTCACAAAATGACAAATACTGCGTGGTGCCACTGTTGTAAAACAGGACTGACATCGGGGTTGGAGAGAGACTGAGAAAGATGGGTTCAATAATGTATACTGCATTGAAACAGATGAGGAAGAAAACTGTTTAAAAGGGTATTTTTGTCATGACAGGAGTCCAGAGTGAAGGCTGCATGGTGGAGTGGACCTGGGGGAAGGTTTGTAAAACAATGAAATAATTTGTCTTTTACTTTTCCAAGAGGTTAGTGTACTGGGGGGAGAGGGGAGGGTTGCATGGGGAGAAAAATGCAACAATGAATGAATGGAAATCCAAAGTCTCTGTAACTATTTATTGAAATAAATAATAAATAATAAATTTAAATTAAAAAAAAAAGAAGAAGTTGATTTTCCAGAGCATTTTGGAAATGGTGAGGAGACATGGGTTAGGGCAAGGTTCAGATTTGTTGCTCATGTGGTCGCCATGAGCCATCCTCAAAAAAGCTGCCTAACAACAATCCTTGCTGGAGGGTCAGCTGTAAGTCAGTTTGGACTCAAGAACATAAGCATTGGAGAATTGTCATCTACAACACTGACTCGATAAACCACACCCTAAATTTTGTTAAATAAATAGCATGTAAATATCACTTATTGCCAGGGGGCTGAACAGGCTGCAATGGAACTACCAGACGATGGAGAAATAGGAAGAAAGACCTAGCTTTCAACTTGGATGTGTCATGGGAATGTCACTGGACTGGGCAGTAGTAGGAATACAGAGGATTTGTGTTATGCTGAGCATTAATGAAATGAGCAGACACCCGGCTGAAAGAAGAGAGTAGCAAACTTTCACGTACCCAAACATTCTGGAGAAGGAGACTTACTGTGAAGTCATTGGTTCTCTTCCCGTGTCCAAAGAGCATGCTGCTGAGAGACAGCTTCTGGCATCTTGAGAAACTTTCAGCTGAATGCACATACAATTAACAGTCAACCTTCCTGGGAAGCCTTAGTAAAAGTTCTTCCAAATATGGGGGATGAAATAAATTGCAATGTCAATGGTCTAGGCTTTCACAGTGAGACACTACCCGTAGCTCAACTACCAGTAAAACTAATTCACATACTCCACTGAAACCCACAGACAGGGCCTATATGTTAAAACTTTGTTTTACTAACTTTGAAATCAGTAATTTATTTTTTTTATCAGATTTCCAGGCCTTTCTTTTGAGACTTTATGAACATGGCTAAACCTTACCATGACCATTTAATTTTGTGCAATTTTGGTGTTCTTCATCCTCCTCATTAAAACAACCCAAAAAAAGGGAAAGAAGGAAAAACATTGGTAGGAGTGGAAAATTAGGGGCACCTGACTCAAGTAAGGGTCAGCTTTAAGAGTGGGGTAGAGTTGGGTAGAGTGCCCTGAAGAGGCTGCCCCGAAGAGGCTGCGGGGGGGAGCCCCCTTAGTTGCTGGTCCCAGTGGGGCTGGAGGGGCCACATGGGGGGCATTCCGGGCGCTTGGTGCTTGACTTTCCGAGAGACATCTTCTGCTGGGACAGCTTCCTCTGGAGCGGTTCCTGCTGACTTTGGGGGAGGGTGGTCTGGAAGGGGGGTGCCTCGAACTCTGCCGTCCCCTTGATAGAGACTGAGGCTGGGGCTGGGCTTGGGGCTGAGGCCGGAACCAGAGCTGGGGTGGTGGTGGAGTGGACACCGCAGATGTTGGAATCTCCTCAGAGTCTGGCCTGTTGCCCACCTTGTCTTGGAGGTCAAGGCCTGAGGACTGTTGAAGTTGATGTCTTCAGGGAAGACATTCTGTATCAGAGCCTACACCACGCCTACTACCTGGATAGAATGACACAGAGGCTGCGTCATCTGGGCCTGGTCCTCTTCTTTCTCTGGCGACCACAGCCAGAGTAAGGGGTAGAAGGGTATTCCCACTAGAAGGTCAGGTATGAGTGTGATTTGATGGCCATGAGTTGCTTAAGGGAATTGTCCTTTAATCTGGCTACTCCCTGTTTTACCTTTGTCTTTGATACTGTGTCATCCAAGGATTGGCTCCTGTTAATGGTCTTTGCCTGAACCAGCCTTCCTCGAGGTGGTTTAACTGGTTTATGAGCTGCTTTGGGTGATGGAAGGTGGGAGGAGACCCTTTGTCCTAATCTCTCAAGGTCCTGCTGTAAGACAAAGAACAGAGCCTTCCCCTGGATCCACTCTCCTTGGGCTCCTTGGTAGAGAATCCCTGACTTGCTCAGGTATTTGATCTCAGGGAGTGGCCCCCAGGTGGGAAGTGGCAGGAGACCCTTTCCTTCCATTTTATAGAGGAGAAAACTGAAGCCCAGAGAGGAGGTGAGAATGGAGCTGGCAGTCAGCCTGTCTTTTACAAGAGGACTTAAGAGAGGGAGCTCTAAGCCATTGCAGGGCAACTCCTGCACCCCAAAACTCCATTACTTGTGCAGGACCTAGGTCACCAAGTCTATCAAATGAAAGAAAATTCAGCTCATCTAGTTAAATGGAAGAGTCAGATAAAAAAATGAGTTTAATTTTTTGGTATAACTCCCTCACCACCATTGATTCAATTCTGCCTCATATGTCAGCTCTACCACAGGACACAGTAGTAGCAGTCCTTTAGTGCATTTAAATCTGGAAATCTTTACAGGGAGCTCTGGTGGCCTAGTGTTCCCAAAGAAACGTGGTTCAAATCCACCAGCTGCTCCACACGAGGATGGGTGAACTCCTCCCATGAGGTTTACTGCCTCTGCTGGAGAATCAGCTGTGGGTCTGTTCCAACTTGATGGTACCCAACAACAACAACAACAAATCCTTACAAAAGTGGACTGCTTCATCTCTCTCCATAGAGCGGCTGGTGGATTTGAACTGCTGATCGGTCCTGTATCAGTCTGACATATATCCCAAACATTGCACCGATTATCTAACTCATTGCCTTTGATTTGGAACCAACCCACAGCTGGTCCTCCGCTGACTTTCCGAGGCTGTAGGTCACACTGGTGGACACTGACATCTCCCCCAGAGCTGGTGATGGGTTTGGACCACCAGAAAGCTTGCCCTGTGGATTAGCACAGGCCTCACGGACAACACCGTCACAGCTCCATGCACAGAATATGTTGTTGTTGTTAAGTGCCATCAAATAGCAGGGATTCATAGCGACTCTGTGAAGGAGAGTCCTCAGCACTTGGGTTCTCTCATCCTCTCTCCATGTTCATAGGGTTTCCGGAGACAACCTACTACGGAAGTGGACGCCACTCCTACTTCCAAGCTTGTTTTAATCAGGGAGCTCCACCCCACTCTCTGTCTGCATTGGGTAACCAACCATTAACGCATTTGACACATCAGTGTCACAGTGTTCCTCCTCACAGCAACCACAAGTGACCGCTCTAGCAAGTGGACACAGCAGGGCTATATGACCTAGAGGAATGTTTGACCGAAAACAATGAAAGACACATTCACCTTTGCCTTGGCAGCATTGCTTTCTGTCCACTGAGCCAACTGATCTCTATGTTGATGTTATTGTTGTTAAGTGCCGTTGAGTCGCAGGCGGCTCATAGCAACCCTGTGAAGGAGAGCCCTCAACGCTTGTGTGACTTTCATCCTTTTTCCAAGTTCATAGGGTTTCTGGAGGCAAGCTATTACGGAAGTGGATGCCACTCCTGCTTCCAAGCACAGAATATACGCACGCTAAAATCTCATGATGCCTGGGGTTGTGTTTGGCTACATTAGAAGGTTACCAGATAAAAGGCAGGATGCCCAGTTCAATTTGAATTTCACATACACTTAATGCTTTACCTACTCCCAGACAAGGTGGTAGATGTCCTCAGGTTTAGGAAATGAGGGTTCATGTGGCCAAAGAGGGAAAGCAGGTGAAGTGGGTGGGCCTTGAGTGGCGGGGTGAGCTGCTTTCTGGGAGGCAGCTAACACCCCTGGAAGAAAGATAAGTGGTAGATTCCAGGAAGCTCCCTTTGGATACAGATTGTGAGAGTTAGTGGGACCCCAGGATCCTGGGTGGGCTGTGGTGGGGTGGGTAAGTCTTCCACTTCCCTGGGGAGCACTCAGAACCAGCTCCCACAGATCCCCACCTCAGCTGCGTATCCAGGCAACTGGTGCAGGCGTAGGTTCCCCAGGAGACGTGGTCAGCGCCTGTGGGCACCCAGGTGGTGGAGCGTCATCTGTGCAGGGTTTATAACTGGAAGGTCAGCAGATCGAGTCTACCAGCTGCTTCTCGGAGGA